CGCCCCCGCGCGGCCTCCGGCCCCGGGTCGCGGCGCGGCGCGGGCGGCAGCATGGTGGAGAAGCGCTGCCCGCTGCAGAGGGACGGCGTGTACCGCTGGTTTTCGGAGCTGCCATCGCCGCAGCGCGTGGAGTTCCTGTGCGGCCTTCTGGACCTGTGCATCCCGCTGGAGCTGCGCTTCCTCGGCTCGTGCTTGGAGGATCTAGCGCGCAAGGACTACCACTCGCTGCGCGACTCGGAGATCAAGGCCAACAACCCTGCCGACCTGGGCAGCCTCACTAACCTGACGGACGAGGTGGTGCGCAGCAAGCTGTTGGTGTCGCTGGCGCTTCTAGGCTCAGAACAGCGCGAGGCTGCGGGCGTGCTCTACCGCACGCTCACGCACATCGATTCCATCATCCACAACTACGGGCTGCAGCTCAACGAGGGCCGCACGGGCGATGAGTTCCTGCTGCTCTTTACCATGGCCTCCAACCACCCGGCCTTCAGCTTCCACCAGAAGCAGGTGCTGCGCCAGGAGCTCACGCAGATCCAGAGCAGCCTGAGCGGCGGCGCCGGCGGAGGCCCCGGAGGCAAAGGCGCGCCCGGATCCACCTGCCCGGCTTGCCACAAGGTGGGTGCACCTGTGCGGGCCGGCCGCGGGTAGAGTGGGGGAGGGCGCCCGGGGCTGCACCCCTCGTTCCGGTCTCCATTCTGTGTCTGTACCCCAAGCTCCTACCTCAAGCGCCTGCCTGGAACCCCCAAATCTGCTCACCAGGCTAACGCCGCACCTCTTGTTCGCTCCCGTAACCAAGTCTGCTCTCGCAGCCCTGCGTATACTCCACAAGCCTCCACTGCACGCCTGACTGACCTATAACACCGAAATCTGTGCTCCAAGCGCGCTGCAACCCATGTCTGTAAATCAGATCCACACCCAGAACCTCAAGTCTGCATCACATTTCCAGACCACCACTGCTAAGTCCAGGTCCCAAGATCCGGCCCCAAAGCTTCCAGCCCCTGCGGCATCGGGAACCAGGCCCGTCAGTCTCCCAACCCCCTACCTCGAATTTCCTCCTTTGCCCACACCCCAAGACTAGGCACTAGCTCTTTCCCCAGCCCCAGCCGTGAGCCAGGAGGGGGAGGGGCTTCTGCGGTCAGAGGTCCGGGCTCCTTTTGTGTCCTGTTTCTTTCTAGAAAGACGATAAAGCCTTTGTCCCCATAATCAGACTCTTGGGTGACAGATAACAGTTAAACATTGTGTCGCCTATGGTTTCAGCGAATCTGGTGTTTATTACCCGGAAAGGGAGTTGGGCCGACCCAGGAACTGGCAGGGTACAAACAGGCAACTGCTGGAGAGCCTCGGCCCGAGGCCGTCGCTGCCCGCGCAGGTGTCGCCGGTGGCCGGGAGCGCGCGTGTGCATGCTCGGAGTACGATGTGTGCGTCCGTGTGTATACGGGAGCGCGGTGTGCACACTGAATGTGTGTCCGATTATCTTAGGAGATGCCCCACGCCTGGCCCAGCAACAGTTTGCTGGCCACCCAGCTCTCTGGGGAGCCAGCCCTGGCCCCACCCGGCCTAGTGGAAGCAGAGCAGTGCCAACAGGGCTTGAGGTCTGTGATTAACCCTGGCGTCCCCAGCTGCACAGTTGAGTGGCAGGGGCATCACGTTAGTTCCCCCAAGGTGCAGACTTTGTCCAGAACGGTTGAGAGCTGTCTGGCCAAAGCCCACATAGTATAACAGCCTCCTGGAGCTGGCTAGCAATATTTTGTAAGAAGAAGAGCTTCTCTGATCGGGTGGTGTGTGCTAGAGCACACTGGGGATTTCTTTGGAACGTGGGAGGGGTGGGCGTCAGGCAGGAGCCTCTTGGCTGAGCTGTTGAGCTCTGGGAAGTTGAAACTCTGACCCGGCTTCACCTCTGTGGAGTGGCTGAGGAAACTGCTTAGCTAGTGGTTGAGTTTTAAAATTTTTTTCAGCTCTCTTTGAAGCCCGGGTTGTGGGTTTTTCCTTCATAACGCCTTTCTCTAAGAAGTGGTTGTGGCGTGTAGGTTGGTTTTTCTAGTGCCTTATCTCTTTGGTGACGTTTTCCTCTGTGGCCTTAACTTTCTCTGTAAGTTCAGTTCCCTTCTGAGATTCCCTGTTGTGTGTTGTTCCTGCTCTAAGCAGAAGACACAGGGTGCAGGAAATGCCCTGTTGTCAGGAAGCAGTGTTGGCTCCCTATGCCAGGGTAGTGTCACCTGCCCAGGATCTCAGTCTTGGTGCTCGGCTCACTGCAGTGGGTCCTGCCTCAGAGCTGCACCCTGGTCATGCCCCGGCTGTGCACTGTGTCACTGTAAGGGGAAGCTCACAGGGTGTACGGGTTCCTCACTTTAAGCAGAAGGTCGTGGTTATTATTTTGGTAGGGAGTGAAGGAAATCTAGAACAAAAGTATCTGTTACAAGAGAGGCTGTCTCTCAGAAATCCCTTGATAAGGTGAAGGTGCTAATCTGTCTCCTCCGAAGTGTGACCCTGCCGGGCCTCCTGCTGTGCTGCGTGGTATCTCCCTGCTGCAGCTGGAGGAACTTCTCCGAAGATGCAGAGCAGGCCGGGGCTTCTGGGCACTCCTTCCTCCCAGCTGCTCTGGCTCTTGCAGTTCATTCTTACAGAGCTGTTTTGGACACGTGGACTGCTGTGTGTGGCAGAGTGGATTCGTGTTTCCTGTGCTGGTTTTTGAGCTGTTCAGGGTCTTTGGAGAGTAGGAGAGGCTGCCTTAACCCTTTGTGACAAGGGTGCTGGTGACGCTCACCCAGGGCCATCAGGGTTCCATCCCTCTACCAGCCGCGTCAGTCCATCAGTCAGTCAGTCAGTCAGTCAGTCAGTCAGTCAGTCAGTCAGTCATGGGGCTTCCTGCTGTTGATAACCCTGGGCACCGGGAGCCCAAGCTCAGACCTCTGCAGTATCTGCTGCCTCAGCTTCGTGGCCGCCGTCAGGGTGACCCTGAAAGACTGTCCCTCGGACTACTCGGCGTCTGGTCTTGAGCTCTCTGGCCTTTCAGACTATTTATTTTAGAGACAAAGATGGGGATTGCGCTTTAGATTCTTTGTCCTGTTCAAAGTTTTAATTCTGTTTTCTGAAAGATTGCTTACTTGCAATCATTCTTCCAAACACTGTTTTTATGTAAACATCTTAATTGTTTCAGGCACCTCCAAAGTTTGAGCGAAGTTAGTGTTCCATAGCCGTGTTCTTTTAGAAGGAAGATACTCCTGATCCAAGGCTGGTGTTAGATGAAGTAGTCTCGAAGTGTCAGTTCCCAGCAGCTGCTGCCAGTGAAGTAGAAAGCCCTGGTTTCAGGAACCGTAGAGTAAGACCTGTTGTGTCTGTGGCCTGCACTGTGGTCTGAGGTGGAACGCAGGCACCACACAGCTCAGATCAGCTTTTAAAATGCACCACACAGAGGTGTTGGTGGCACCAGGGTCATGCATGTCCCCTCTGCTCATTTGTACATCCCTTGCCTCACCCCCGGCCCCTGTGACAGTGCTGCCTACTCTCCGCCCCAACCCCAGATCCTGCTTTCTGTGTCTGGCTTCTCTGCCGGTTGTCTCATAGAAGTAGACCCTTGCTGTCTCTGCGCTGCTGTGGCCAGAGGCTCCTGTGTGTTGTGGGTACTTCTGTGGCACAGCTGAGTAGCTGGAGGGACACTTCGAGACTACTTTGTCTAACACCAGCCTCGGATCAGGAGTATCTTCCTTCTAAAAGAAGAACACAACTGAGGCACGTCATCCCAGAGGGCATTTCAGTGGCTTAAAGTGCTGACTCTGGGTGTTCTGGTTCACTCCCTTCCGACAGCCCCCCAGCCAGCCTGCGGCTGTACCGAAGGAGTGTTCTCCCGGCCTGTCCTGCTCGGGCATATCAGGCCTGGGCAGGTGTCTGAGCAGCCTGGTGTGGCACACAGTGGAGCTACTTCCTGGGCTTGATTTTCTTTATTTGTTTATTTTCTGTAGTCCCGGGACTTGAACTAGAACCTCGTGCCCCCTTGGCAAGCTCTTGCGCTGAGCTGCATCCGCAGCCCTTTTGATTTTCAGCCAGCAGGCTCAGGTTCTGTGTCACTCCTGCCATGGCCTCCTGAGACATATCCACACCGAGTGTGTCTCGAGGGGGTGCTGACCTGGGGCGCCCGCAGTGCCGCTGTGGAAGTGCGGCAGGCAGTGGTCTGCCCAAGGCGTGAGTCCCTGCGCTGCGGTGCTGGCCCTGGCCCTGGCCCTGTGGCCTCCAGTGTGTGCCTGGGCTGAGCGGGTAGCCAGGGACTCACACAGACGCACCTGCATGTGCTCACTTGTGCTCTGTCTCTGTCTCTCTGTTTCTGTCTCTTAGACACACACACACACACACACACACACACTGCACTGGGCATATCGCTACAGTTCAGAGGTGAAGCTTGGGTGCCCTGTGGCTGTCACGTGAGGCAGATATTGCCTGGCTCTGCCTGGTTTCCCCTTGAGCCCCGCCCATGCCAGCTGACAGCCACCTGACGAGCACCCTCTGGATAGACTGCCTGCCTGCTGTGGTGGTGGGGGGGGCACAGTGTCCCTGCTCCTTTGGTAACACCACAGGAGGGAATGCTGATGCATATTGGAGGGGGGCAGCTTTAGGAGTCAGGATGCTAGCCCTGCTTCTCTCGTGAAGTCCCCAGCATGCGCTGGAGGTCCTCCATGCAGCTGTGACAGCCAGCAGAAGCCTCATGAAGGCAGGGTCTGTGTGGTGCTTTAGTCACTGTCACGTGCCCTCACATCTAGTGGAGGCCGCTGATGCCCTCGTGAGTGGGCTCTGGAGACCACATTGGAGTGTGGTGGGGCATGGTGGGCACACGTGTGCACACCTGCACAGCTGAGCTGAGCGCCCTCAGGCACAGGCCGTGGGGGGTGGGCTCTGTCCTGCCCATGTGCTTCCCTTTGTGTGTGGGGTGTTCTTAGGGTCACAGTCTGGCAGTTCTCTGCCCCATGGGGGTGCGGTGGGGGCCTGCCTGTCTGTGCTGCTGCCGCGAGGGGTGTGTGCGTGCAGCCAGCGCCTGTGCCTCCTTAGAGCCTGTGGGGACACTGGAAGAAAGCTAATCCTGTGTTAGTGCCCCTGGTGGGGTCAGATCTCCGGAGGAGACCCATCTGGGCAGGCTCTGTCTGGCATGGGGAAGGCACTGTGGGGATGCTGAGCCTGCCGCCGCTGCCTGCGGCAGGGCCAGAGCTGGGCCTGCAGCCCGTCTCCTCTCTGGTGCTAACACGTGCCAGTTGTGGTAAACCTGGACGCACTGCAAGTGTCACCTGGCCAAAGTGGGGTGATCAGGAGCTGATAGAACGCGAGTTCCTGATGGTTTCTTGCTGTGCTAGCTAGAAGGCTCAAAGTTATTTAAAGGGAAGGAAGGAAGGGTAAAGGAAAGGCGGCATCTGCCCTCGGCAGTCTCCTGGCAGCCACGGGGTGCTGAGCGGGCACAGGTCAAGGGTAAGGAGCAGGAGCTGGGCGAGATGTGGCTGGCTGGGTCTCAGGCAGGTTCTCTGCAGGCTCCCAGAAACTCGGTCCGGAAACGCCCTCCTCTAGCCCTGGAGGCCCAGCCTAGACTTCTGGGTTTGGGTCTGTGCTTGCACAGAGCCCGGAGGTCAGGGGTCTGA